TTAGTGGTAAAAGTAAAAAGTTTACAAAAATACTTATTTCTATCTCTTATTCTGCCGAAAAAGGTTAATTGTGCAGCAGAATAATACGATAGTTGAGTATTAGAAAAGAGCTCATGTGATTCTCACATAATGCTAATATATGATTAAATACACTTTTGTCTTCTGTTCTCAAGTGTGAAACTCTCTAGTTTCTATCAAAACTGATTCGAAAAATATTCATTCTTCTTCTAAGTTGAAACGAAAAATAATTTTGCTCTCCGAAATCTAATTTTTTGGTAGAAAGAACGATTGAAATCAATACATCTTATGTAGAAAAAATTTTGATTTTTGTATAAATATTGATATAACATTGAGTTTTTTTCAAGACTTATTTGACATGATAAAATTTACAAGTAGTCAAAGCATTGGAGCTGGTGTATATTTTTTATATGCAAAATGTGCAAGACTAAAAACATTTTGACGTATCGAATATTTCAACATATAAACAAAAATGTTTCATCAATATGATCTATCGCAAACAATATGTTAGTGATGAATACCATTTGAACGAATTTCGATTGTCAGATAATTAAAATCAAAATATTCAATGACAAGCAAAGAATAGAAGAGCAAAAACAATGAGAAAATATATATTAATGATATATTTAAGAACGAATTAGAGTCCCACTGAAGCAGAATAAATATAAGATAAAAACAAATTTCCAACGTACAAAATTTCTTCGAAGACAATTTTTATATGATTGTATTTGTATTTTTCTTTTTATTGATAAGGAGATTATTACTATAAAATAAAACGCTATTCAGAAACTCAAGTGGTCTGAACTGGCTTTTCGCTCAATGAAATTAAAAATTATCATCTCGATAAAGATCAATTAGTTTTTCGTACTCAATTATAACTTATTATTCTCAAAGATAACTTTGAGGTGAGAAACGCGTCAATGACGATGAATGATAATAGAATTGAAATTGTGCAATTGATAGATAGTTCAATTGATCAATTAATAAAACTACATAATCGATTTAGGTCCAATAGATAGTGGTTTTCACTTTCAGATTTTTCAAAATTGTTTCGTACGTGTAAAGTTCGTATCGCTTCGATGGCGATATCATGTGATAAACCAGCTAATATAGAGAGATCTTGACGCGAAAGTGAACGTAAATGAGGCATATGTTCAATGAGATCGAAAAATGAAGTCAATATAAGATTGGTGTCGGTTTCTTCTATATTAAATACGAGTGACGTGTGACATTGATAAAACGTTAAATAATTGGATTAAATAATAACAAATCAATTTGATGGACACATTTATCAAAACAGAAATTGGACGATATGTATATTGGTGGTCAATAAATATTCGGACATACGAGAATATTTGATGTAAAACGAGTTACCGTAAAGATATTTTGCGAATATGGACCATCATAGGCAACAAATCAGCGTTTTTGTTCAAGTCAAAATAGTGAACAAAATAAATCAAGAATATTTTCTTTGGAAAAAATTTGGTAATGAACATGGAAGATGCAATCAAAAGTTGAATATAGTCAAATGTGAAACAAGTAATTCCCATTTTTGGTCATCAATAAGATCTAGATAACCTTGTGCAATAAGTTCGAAACAATATAGATTAGGTATTTTAGATAAAAATTGTTCCACATGAATCATGGTCTTTTTTTTGCCTTAATTTTAAAAAACAAGGAATATATATATATACAATTTTCAAATAATTATACGCATCATGAATGATTAGGATGAGCCATCTTAGATGGAGCAATAATGATATGTTATACATTCATTTTGGATAATTATCATATGAAATTTTGACATCAAGTGAATGAAGATTAGGAATTTGATTCAATATAAATGATAAGCACCAGCAAAAGAAACTTTGAAGAGTTAAATGACGTAGATGAGGCAATGAAGCCAAAACGGGATTATGAGCATGAGGTACTGCTAGTCGATTCAGTCAAGCAATTAATTTATATATAGCAGGGTATGTCTGTGTTTATTACCACTAATCGTAGTCATATCGAATGATTGAAGATGAATGAATTGTTCGAGTTTAAAATGAGAAAAGAACAGGTTTGATTGATTTGATGTATCATTGTCATGGGACAATATAATAGAAATGACTTGATGTGGTCATATATGTTGGCAAAGAAGATCAAATTTCGATTTAAGAACAGAATGAAAGTTGAGTAAATAATGACAATAGCCAGCTAATACAGAATCCAGGTAATCACTTAGGCTAGAAAATGAATAGTAGATATCATGTACTCAAAGATAATCAAAAATATCGTGAAGTAATTCAATAGGCAACCGATCTATTCGACTCAAAGACATTGCATAATAAAAAATATCATGTGAGATAACTGATTTCTTATTGCTCGTTCATGATGTAATAATATAACACACTGCTTTTTTTTCTTGTTTCGTTCTGTAGTCGATACTACTTGCAAACGTTCTTCGTTCAGATATGAAACATATGTCGAGATGCAAATGATTCATCGTGTATTTGATGCTGAAAAGAATATAGAATGAGTATAAATCGATGATGAGCGAATGAGATTGACAAATCAAAAGTTTTGAATAAAATGAGCAAACATATCTTTCAATCGTCACATATCTCTTCTGCATCTTTAGTCTTTACATACATTAATCATTGCCATTTTTTTCTTTATTTACAACATTTAGTACGAGCCACTGCTTTTCATTTTTAAGCCGCTTGTTTTTCTTTTTAATTCAACTTTATAACACTAGAGAAGTTTTTTTCGATGAAATTGAAATATAGAAAAATTCAGATTATAAAATCAACTTTTTTCTCTAGGGAAAATAAATAAGCAAAGAAAAAAAGCCTACTTCGAACGTTATCTTATTTGAGTCACCTTGCCATTGAAAGATGAATAGAAAAATGATTAACGTTATTTTTTTTTATGTACAAGATATCTCGTAAGTCATCGGGCAAGAAAAGATTTGAATATCTCTTCGTGTTTCGGTGAGATAGGCTAATTATTTTACTAAAGATGAACCATGGTTCATAGCTCATATTCATAGTAAAAACGTTAGAAAATAGGTTTTTGAAGTATCATTTCTATCTTCTGACTTTCATAAGCTATAAAAATACAATATGTTTATTCCCATGGACAAAACTGAAAAACATAGCTATTTTTTCGATAACTTCTTCATACTATTGTGAGGCGCATATGATGTGGAGAAATATCTTCATATGATTATTATCTCATTCCTATGTTGTTTTTGAGTGTAATCTATTCGTATGCAAAAATCTTCTGAACACTAACTATGATATTATACATACGTTGCTTCACTAATATTTTTCTGTTTATATAAATGATGATTCACCTACTCTCATGTATTATCCAATCCAAAATAAAAATCAGTTTGCCATTTTTCAAATAGCTTTTAATAGGAACAAGATAGAGAGCTGCAATTTTCCCCATTTGAAAGAGCAATACTTGGGCCATCAATCTGTATAAAATTCATTGGGACGAAAGATGTTTGTTCATAGAGAATGATCGATTAAGTTTTTTTCTAGGTGTAATTTTCCTCAATTTTCACAATAATCTGAACTCAAATGATGCCAGAATGTACCTTAAGGACACTTTTTTCACTATAAAATATGTAAATGCTCTTGAGAATCCACTTCGTAAAAGAGATCGCAGATTGATCGAAAATGTAATGATTTTATAGTGAAAAAAGTGTGATAGGCAATCTTGTTCGAAAAACATCTTTCGTCCTCATGAGTTTTATACAGATCGATGGTCCATATGCATTGATCGTTTAGAAAATAAAAAAGAAGTTGATTTTCGATCAGATAGATGGATTCATTCGTTAAGAGGAAACCAATTTCATTGAATCATAACACAACTTAACGATTACTTGGGAAAGAAGATAGGATATGGAGCTGGCAAGTCACGAATGGCACCGACGAATGACTCGCCGTTTGTTTCTAAGATTGATATGAACCTTTCTTTCGCGAAGCTTTCTAGAGATTGGACAGTAGTTTTCAGAAGAGCTCGATCAAGTAGATAGAATCTGGAATCGGTGAGTTACAACTGGCGCCCTCGAGAGACGCTGATGAGCGACTCGCCATTTATTTACGAGGTAGACACGTCTTTTCTTGCATAAAGCTTTGAATGAAATATAGAGTATTTTTCAAAAGAGCTGAGGCAATTATTGTGGTGAAGACGACTAATTCAAAATTGTACCAATTTCTCATAAAAGCCAAAGAAATGTAATCTATGATGAGAATATCGCGCGAATACTACATATTCCAAACTCTACATTACCAGTGTTGCCTATTCCAAATTGCAAAAGTTGAAAGACTTGTTCATATGGTGTTGGTTATAGCATCACAGAAACTGATGATTTATCTGATAATATTTGTCAAAGTGAATAGAATGAATTCAGTCGAGGGTGAAGCGAGTCGTAGCGACGAGCGTTACTTGTGAATTTTTGTTTTACATTTTCAAGAATTTCAGATATTACTTCTACTGTAGTTCATTCGATTAAGGAACATTCCTTTGGTGTTTGCCACAATTATATGGATTGATTTTCTCAAGTTTGTGTCATGTTAGCAATGTCTCCCTCGACGCATGTATTTTGATGTTTTAACTGTAATTTATTATCTATATGAAAGCCAAAATGTGCCAAGAGGAATGACGATCTAGCGTAGTATTCGGAGGAACAACAGATTGTTGAACATTAAGTGATTGGTTGGTGAGCATCATCGTAGATGCTATATCTGAGCACCATAATGAAATGAGAATAGAAGTATGTCACATATAATATATCAAACTCATTAATAGTTATTGTAGCTCTATACGTATCAGTCACCATTCACAAAATATCTTCGAAAATACAAACAGAAAATGTTTACATGATTTGAATTTGACTTTTCATCTTTCATATTTCAGTAAATTGATCAACAAAGAAATATACATATATATAAAGATCTAACAAAAATAAATTTCTCCGAAAAAACCTATTGCTTTGCTGAATCATTTTTTTTCTTTCTTTTAGCTGAAAAGACGTTTCCAATTGCATTATTCAATGTATGTGTTGATATGCTACATTGACTAGGATGAATAATTTTAATGTAGTCTAGAAAAATAAAAACTAATTATTTTACAATAATTCGTAGTACACTTACTACATATACCATGAAGTTTTTCAATTGGTAATAAGGAAATGAGCATTTTCGTTCTTGCTTCAAAATCAGGGTATAAATGTTTAATAATACCACGACAACTTTTTGTGATATCTGTTGGATGCTCACACCCTTTCAATTGAATATTACTCAGGTTTAATACTTGACCGATTTGATTTAATTTTTCTTTTGTTTCTGATCCTCCTGTTTTTCCTTGTTCTTCATTATTAGAGATGTTCGACAGCATTTTAGTTACATCAATAAAATAAGATGCTGCTGCTCCAGATGGTCTATTCAAAACAAATTTTTTCAATATAATCTTGAAATAAATAACTTACTTAGGCATCCAATTGGCTTTGAATATTTCTATCTGCTTTTTCAACTGAATATTTTCCTAGACAAGCTCTTCGTATAACAATTTCGACATGTTCGGAGATATTTTCTTTTACACACAGACGATGATTTCATCGAAGATCTTTTTCACTTATTTTTTGAAAGCAGATGATCTTCATCCTTGTTGTTCACTGAAAAACAAATGAACACGGTACGCAAATGTCATCTCAAATAATTTAGAAAAAAGGAGAAGAAAACCCACGCATCAATAGATATGTTTGTTTTCATCGAGTTGGAGATTATTTCATTCTCAACAAATAGAATAATTTTAGTCATCACCATACATTATATAATAGTCTTAGTCCAACTTTACAAACACTACCTTTTCCAATCACAAGCCAAATCTTAAATTCTCTTCTACTTGACCCAAGTACTTCACAAATCTTAATGAGAATACCCACAAGAAGAAATAGACGTTCAGTTCAAATCGTATGAGAAATTATTTTCATTCAATAATTTAGTTTCACTATTATGTGTTTTGAATTTAATGATTCTGATGTTGAATGTTTTTTCTCATGTGATTTAGAATTTGATGTTGAACCTTTTTTATCATTTGCAATTGAATTAGATGTGGGTGTGAATGGGAATATAGTGATTTCGTCGACCTCGTGTGCACCCATATCCCTTATTTTAATTGAAATAAATCTTTTTATTTGTTGGCGAAGTCATTTTTCTCTTCATCTTTTTACCTGGAAATATCATAATAAATAGTTCAGATATTTTCTTAATTAATAGCCTTTTCTATCTGTAATTAATATACAGTCAAAGACAAAAGTTTAAACGAAAATGTATTTTTGATTTTTTCTATAATAACAAGCATCTAACTGAAATCCAAATAGTGATTCGCGTAGCCAATGAAGAGCTCCATCAAATGCATCCTATACCAAAATTTCATACATGACTTAATGTAGCAAGATTTCTGGAAAGCCAAAAGTCGTATTTTTCAGGTCTCAGAAGACTTTGCAATAATTCGTTTTTAACAGTACAAACTTCTGAAAAAAATGAAGGGTCGCCGCCTTTTCTATGACCTTCCTTTCAAAAGTTATAAGCATCACAAAAATCAAAAAAAAATATGATTTTTAGCGATTTCTTGATATATTTCACTTTTTTCCCAGTTTTTGTGATGCTTATAACTTTTGAAAGGAAAGTCGTAGAAAAGGCGGCAACCCTTCATTTTGTTCAGAATTTTGTATTCCTTAAGCTAGTATTGTTAAAAACGAATTATTGCAAAGCCTTCTGAGACCTGAAAAATACGGTTTTGAGTTTTCCAGAAACCTTGCTACATTAAATCATCTATAAAATTTCGGTATAGGATGCATTTGATAGAGCTCTTCATCGGCTATCCGAATCACTATTTGGATTACAGTTAGATGCTTGTTATTATAGAAAAAATCAAAAATAAATATTCGTTTAAACTTTTGTCTTTGACTGTACATCATTACTATTTTCTCATGAGACAAATCATATCAATCGTTTTCACATGACATCTATGCTTGTCATTTTTCTTCATCATGATATATTGGTTTGTCTGTTGCACCAATAGATTTTTTTCCGTTCTGCACGCGTTGAACAATGGGATCGTTTCCTCTTTTGCAATAGTAACTTTTCTTTAGCTTAATCAAATCGAATTTATGATCGATATTTCTATTTTTCCTTTGAGATTTCGATATTCTTTTATTTTGTTCTTGTTTTAAGAAGAACATTTTTTAAATTAAAAGATGGAATTATTGATAACCTTGTCTTTGTTTTTCTTTAATCAACCGTTAGTCATGGTACTTTGAGGTACTTTGTTATCTACAGCAAAGTTCCAATAGATATTTTGCGAATAGAAATGAAGTACTCGTTTCCATTCTGTTTTAGATTTCTATTGGAAACGCTGTTTGACAATAATATGTCACGTGATCCAACAAAAACCGCAATTAAAGTTCGTCGAGATGAAAAACATTTATGTCCTTATTGGTACATTTAATTTAAGAATTTCTTGTTTTTTTTTATAAATTAAATTTTATTATTTCTTGTTTTTAGTAATTATTGTACGGGTAAAAAATATCTTCTTCAACGTCATTTGAAATCTCATTCAACAGAACGACCACATAAATGTAAATTATAAAAATAAATTGTTTACTTTGTTTTAGAACGATTTTTTTCTAGGTGCTTATTGTTCGAATACATTTAAAACAACCGCACAATTACAAAATCATGTTAATACTCATCTTGGTATTAAACCATTTCAAGTAAATATATATTATTCATTGATTTGCGGTTTTTTTTGGATAATTCAATTCTCTTTTGTTTTTAATTAGTGTAAATTTTGTGAATATAAATTTACTACAAGTGGAGAATTAATTCGTCATGTACGTTATAAGTAAGTATCGATAATTGAATTATTAACTATTTCCACAGAGACGTGAATTTTCTTTTTTGAAATTAAGACTTTAAATTAAATTTTTAACAGAAATATCGGAGTCATAGGAACTTTGAAATGTAGTATTGGAACATTGTGTTTTAAGAACTTCTATATGATCTATAAATAATCTTAATGTTAATCGTCTAGCCCCTGGTATTAATTCACTAAAGTTGGTATTGATCAAATCATCGGAATAGCTTAGTCAGGTGCTGATTAAGACACTGATGTGGTTAAATTTGGACAAAGGTATTTCACTGCGGTGATGGCGAATGGGCTCTAAATGATTCATTTACATTGTGTGGATTGAAATTAGGTCTTTCATTTCCTGGATCGTGTCCGAATCGTTATTCTTTACTAGATGGAATGCCATAGCTCTATCTTCTATTGATAATAAGATTACTTAAAAACAATCATGAAATCCTGTTTATTTGAATATTAGTTCTAATGAAGTTTTTAGCATAAAGATTGTATTACAAGTTTATATCGAAAATAAAACAGTTCTGAAAAAAAAAAGAAAACATTTTTCTTCCTATTGACCATGAATGGTCAAAAATAGCAGTACAGTATAAAACAATGACTAATTCTTAAGAACATTACACTCTAGAATATTCAAGAGAAGTTTGATTAACAGCTAAAACCCATATCACGTAGTTTCCTACTGACGAAGAAATCTCTCCAGATGTCAGATTGCTTTTCAATCGAGACGATGTTCATTAGACGAATCTAGAATGGCTTGCTTTTTCGGATCTTCATTTTCGAAAACAAAAATTCGATGATTTTTCAATGTAATTTGTTTTTTTTTTCATTTAAAGACATACACTTGAAAAACCACATAAATGCGAAGAATGTGGTTATGCAACAGTTGAATTAAGTAAACTTCGACGTCACATTCGAACACATACAGGCGTATGTATTTAAAATTATTTTTTTTTTTGTTTATTAAAAATATATCGAATTGTTTTTTTGGTCTGTAGGAAAAACCATATTCATGTCCGCATTGTTCATATTGTAGTCCGGATACATTTAAACTTAAACGACATTTACGTGTTCATACCGGTAAAAAAAAAAGAAATTTCTTTCTTCTTTGTTTTTTTTCTATTATATTCTTTTCATTTAAGGTGAAAGACCATATCAATGTACGGTAAGTTAATTTATTAGATTTTTGAAAATAAAATATAATTTAAATAAATAAATAGGTATGTAAATTTCGTTTTACACAAAGTAACAGTTTAAAAGCACATATGTTAACACATGAAACAAATGCACAAAAATTCCATTGTACATATTGTCCAACAATTTTAACACGTAAAGCTGATCTTAAACAACATATGTTAAAAAAACATGTTAATGATGAAGATTTTGTAACATGTCTTAAATGTGATCAAGAATTTGCTGATCCGTATGAAATTTTTTTTTACAAATTTAAAAATTTTTTTTAATTATTTTTTTGTTAGACATGAATTAAATCAACATAAAAAAATTCATCATGGAATGAATAACAATAATAATAATAATAATAATAATAATGTTAATAATTTTAATATACCACGTGTTCAACTTAGTTGTTCATTGTGTACATATAAAACATTTTCACAAGATATACTTGATGATCATATGGATTCACAACATCGAGGTTTATTGAAATTTTTATTTTAAAATAAATCTAAATATAGGAAGTTATTGCTAAGCAGATGGACTTCAGTTTTCACTGAAGTAAATCGTCACCTCTTGGAGGAACGATACGTCAGATGTAACAGAAGATCTACCTTAAATAATCATTTTTTTCGAAAAATTCGAACTCTAATTTAGTATATTCACATTAGAATTAAAGGGGGTTGGGTGAAATCTTAATAACAGCAATAGCTAATAATCTGCAGTTTCCAGCAATCGAAAGAGAAAACCACCTTCGGACGTCTTTTTTGTTTGATATTATATAAGGCAAAATTTATAATCCATCATCTTTTAAAAACATGCATGAAAATGGTGTTTCATTTCAAGGATATATTGATAAAAATCAACAGAATTCTATTTAATTTGACCGAATAGATACCAGAGGTGTCTATGGTGGCGCTACCACTGCCGCCACCGCGGCAGATTTCCAGTCGCAATGAGCATCTCTGATAGATACGTGATTTTATTTACTCAAATATTGAAATATGAGAAAATAATAACCTGAATTATGCCTAGAACTATATATCCGAAGTCCTTCTATCTGAGGCATATATACAAAATTTCATCGAAGTAGAACACTATTTTCACGCATGTTTTACGGAGATAATGGATTTATGAAATAATTTTACATTCCAATTGAAGGAACTTCATTTAAATGAACTCGATTGAATATCAAAGGGAAAATAATTTGAGAAGTAAAACAAAAGTCTTCGTCAATAGAAAATTTTTTTTGAAGTATTCACACACTAAGCCTGATTGATATATAGATGAGAATAGCATACAGAAATCGACATCGTTCTATCAAAGTTATTTTTATCGATTGTTTTTTGCTCGAACGGTTCAATGACTATGCTCTTCACTCATATGTTCGTTTA